TCACATCAAATAGTTCTCTCTCTCCATCCAGTCAAACTGCCTCCAGCTGATCTCAAGAGCTTTTATGTGTAAGATATATCTGCAGGTCGATTTCTACACAAGACTTTTTTAGTTCAAATGTTGTGCCTTTCAGCCAGTATTGACCTCTGAGATGTGCTGAAGCTGGTCTCCCTCATATGTTTTACAGAACTGATCCAAGAACCACAGAATTGCCAGTTCTATTTTTTCATTACTAGACTGGGGTAACTGGCATCTATCAAAGAGATCAGCTGGAAAATTCTTAATGACAGAAAAAAATATCTTCAGGAAGAATTCTCAAATAAAATTGTATTGTCACAGCCAATTTCTTTAGGAACCCATCAGATATTTTTTGTTTGCCCAAGTTTAAGTTTCTTCTAAGATTTTGTTTTGTTTAGACACTAATTATGCTAATTGACCAGTACTGAACATAAACATCAACATAATGCTTTTCTAATTACTTTGTCACTTGACATTTTCTCAGATGCATATATTAAACTGTGGTGAATTTGCTAAAGTGTTTTTTTTTCTTAGACCATCCATTCCATGATGAAAGAAACAGAAATTTGAGAAGCATGGGGCTCAAACTGCAAGCGCAAGATAAGAGCTGTTTGGGTTCCCTGAAAACTGAAACTATTGTACTTAGAAACAAGTTTACATATGCACTATATAATGGATGCACTGTCGGCCTCACTTCTTCCCACTTCTGCCTCTCCTAAATCACCCTCACTTGGTACATATCTCCATATTATCAGGACTGATTTCAAAGAATCAATTTCAGTCTATGCCAGCTAAGAAAATTTAATTAATTTTTTTAAAGGAATATTCTGTTATTTAATTTTCAGTGTTCTTCCACTATCTGTTCCTTGAAATTCCAATTCCCTAGCAATTCAAAAATTAATTCCCACCTTTTGTCAATTCTGAAATATATAGTCACTGGATTAGAAGTCAGTAGATACTTCATCTGTAAGTCTGGATATTAAAACCTTTCACTTTTAATAAAAACACAGTGGAAGATTGCTAACACCACGGAGCCCCAGGGTAGATTAGGAAGGCAAGAAACAAAGGAGAAAATGCACAGTTTTTTCTCCAATTCTAAGTTGCATGTCCTTTTTCATGCATTAGATAGTGGATGTAAAGTACAGGATCAAACATGCATGAGGATTAAGAGAGTGTTTGCCACAAGAAATTGGTCATTCGTAACAATACCCAACTCACTGCAGAAAGAGGACTCTGGTATGCACACTCCTAAATCTAGAGCCTTCTTTTTTATTCCAAGTTCTAGTCTAGAAATCAGTCTAAATTTTCAACCAGCAGCTCCCCTGCACTTCTTCACCCACAATAATTAATGCAAAGGAAGTGCTGCAGAAAACAGCAGTCAGAACTCAGAACTTACAAAACTTACACTTGTGTAACACACAAACGAAAACAGGCAGCTGCATGGGCACAGCTAAACACTGCTTATAGTAAGAGATATCTCTGCCTTTAATCCCCTTCCCTTCCTCTGAAACAATTTTGAAATGATAGCCTCAGTGACTCCACTGCTCAGGATGATGAATCAAGAAAGACCAAAGCCAGTGGAATGGTCCCAATCCACTGAGTCAGTACAACCCTTGAGCACCCACCATCCAAGAACTGGACAAAAATGGAGACATTTAAATTCCAAATATCTGCTGACACTACACATCATTAAAAAAAAAATAATCACAATTACAAAAAAGCCCTACTTCCTAACAGGTTAACTCCCCATCAAGGGCATCGTGCCCATCAGTACCAGTGTGTGTTAACTGTCCTCCCAGAAACGTAGACACAGCACAGACCAGCCATGCCAGCACTCCTACATCAAACTGAAAGAACAGTTGATGATGATAAGCCCTGATGCCAGTACAATACACTCCCACGAGGTACGAACAGATCTACATGATATCAAACTGCCAAGAGAATGGTCAGCTCTCCCCTTTACCCCATCTAAAATCCACCCAGACAAACCAACTAACAAAAAACTCTGAGCCCAACTGCCATATAAACTAAAACAGCCCATTAACTTGGACATGCTTATAAATAAAACACCAAAGAACTAACCTAAAATACAAACTAAGCAAACTCAGCCTGGATAACAGATCCAGCATCTTCGCTTGCCTGCTACAAGTTACTTCAAGGAATGGAACAATTTTACCTACAGTGGGACTGTTACATCTAGTTATCACAGCATTACAAAGTAATGGAGTCTCCCCACAATCTATTTGTTTCTTAGTTCTATTTCAAATAAAGAATTCTTTGTAATTTTAAGATATTATTTAAAGTGATTTGCACATAAGAAAATACTTATGTCATAAATCAGACATATCCTTCAACAAAAGAGTCTTTGAACTACCACACAGTTTTGAAAGTCTCTGTGGACTACTTCTAAATGGGTTTGAAAGACAGAGCTCATTGATTCCAAGCTATGCTGTCATGCCTTCCAATTTCCAGACTACTCAGCTGTCAGTCTCCACTATAGCACTTACAGGATCCAGTGGCCAAGTCCTTCTCCAGTAAAGTGCAACATAAGGATTGTAATTTCTCTAAAACTAAGGTTCTATAAATAACTCATTGAGTTTGTGTATGTGGTGTATTTTGTACAGACTTTCATATACTGAAATCCCTCTTTATAAATATGGAACTCTTCAGCTTACAAACACTGAACTCAGAGGAATTCTTTTGGCCTCTCTCTGCTGGAAAATAATTGCCATGTTGCAAAACATGGGTTATTTTAATCTCTCTAGCATATTAAGGTAGAATATCTTTAAGTTTGACCTCCTGACCCTACTCAAGCCACGTAGATTTCCTGCTTTAGCTTTTTGAGCTGTGAGTCCAGTAACTAATGGCATCTTCTCTCAGGAAGGATGCAGTATTCTATTCTGAGGTAAGATCAAAACGAAGACCTGAATAGCAAAGTAACCTGTTAAAACTTCAGGATGCTGCTAAAGGTTTCTTCCTCAAATGAAAGGCAATGAGACTACAGTAAAAGTTACCTTTAGACTCCACCTTCATTTGGTAAAATACTCTTTGTAATAAATTAAAAGTGGGTGTCGATGACAACACAGAAAAGACCACTTGGAGAGGTTTCTACTTAAGCTACAAACAAGGCTTCTCAATAAGTGAATTACATAAACTAGAAGATGTCTTGCTCTCATTTCTAGGATTTTACAAAGTGATAACAGCTTCACTTACAAGATTGAAGACAATACCCTGCCGAATACAGTGTCTTGCAAATTCATTCTTAAGTTTAATAGAAAGGATAAACTACAGATAAACCAATGAAGTCATATTATGACTGTAAAACAGTATTATATTTTGGATATTTCTACATACATATCAGGACATGCATAGTATCTGCCTAAAGTCTTGAGATTTTATTTAATGTTTGTTTTAAATCTCTGATAAACTAGTCTACATTTACATAACATTAAACTCCACTCAATCTCCCTTATGTTTTGCACTATTGTTTTTTGAAAAACCCAACACAGAGGGTTTTCATTCCATCCCCTTCAACAGTTCTGAGGGGTCCCAGCATCCTCAGACTATACACTATAAGTAATTCTGCTTTAGTTAGAGGTATATAGCATGGTGTGTTCTATACATAAAAAAGATGCAGAGACAAATACACACAATGTGTGGAATAACACGCAGATGATTCCAGCAAAAGTACAGAAAGCATTCCGGTTTGTTTTAAATCTCAGTCTTTTTTCTACTACCACACGAAACTGTAATACAGACTGAGATCTGTAACAGCCAACACTGTGACAGGGAACAAGCACTGACTTTTGAGAGAAAACAAGATAAATGAGGAAGACTACTAAATATCTTCTCATATTGTTCCTGTGCCATTCCTAACAACCTGGAGGGGCAGTATCAGCTCTCCAAAAACCAACGTATTTTATTTCCCAGTTTTGAGACCTGTGCTTCTTGACAAAAAGGACACTTTCAAGGAAAAACACACCACACATTGCACTACAAACAGCTGTTCATTTAGGACACTAGGAGATCGCACCATCATTAGCAAAACACTAAGGAGCTGAAGTGTTTCAGAGAACAGGCATTGCTCAAATGAATTTAGCATTAACAGGCTACTGTTAATGGCCATTTGAAGAGGGTATTGCAAAGCAGCTGTGAAGTGGTGCCAGCTGGTTCAGAGAGCACAGCACAGCCAATCCTGTAGCCAACAGTCTTTTTTAAAATAAAATCCTGCTTTCCTTCTTACAAACTGCAGGAGTTCATTTTTAAGCAGTTATTTTTGTGATGGTAACCCTCTTCTCCGAGCACAATACCAAGTAACTGGTACAACTTCTTTCCCTCTATCGTGCCTTCACTATTTAAAATTTTCAGTGCAGTTGCTTTTGCAATTTCCGAGGCAGATATCTTTTGTTTTAGGAAATGATTATTGCTGTCTTAAGACTGTCTTAAGAATGATACAGACTGGTAGAAGAGAAGGTCAGTACTTTCCTCACCTTTTCCCTGTTAGCTTTCTACACAGGTTAGAAAGTTTACTCCTCCACAATGTAACACGGACATCAAGAAGAATCTTTCATCAGTACCAAAGAAAGAAACTGAATTTTCAGTGCTGATGGTGATGCTGATGAAGGCAATAGCACATTTCATTGGAGCTGATCAAGCCAGACGGTTTGACCCAGAAGCTTAGCACTACTGAGTCCTACTCAGAAGAAAAAAGCCGAGACATGAAACTTCAACCCTGAAACATTACAGGAAAGCTGAACAGAGAAAATAACCTAAAGATGCCAAAAGAAGTGTAGCTGGTTGAGAGAAGGACCAGGAAAATTGGCAGCACCCGCAATGAGCTGCTTGTCCTTCCCTGTCCTAGCCCTGGATCACTGGAAGCTCCCCTAGGTACTAGTGATTCCTGTTCCTGAGACGATAGAAATGTTCATGATTTTGAACCATTAGAAAGTCAGCAAAGGCCCATGAAATGAAAAAAAGCTAGAATTTACATTTGATTTTGGCCTAAATTTAATAAGCAAAAGGAATAAAATGTTATCAGCCCATTAAGACAATCTAAAGAAATCACCATGATAATCAGAACCAGCATACTCAGATTATACCAAAACATAATATGCCAATAAATCAGAAAATTAAACACTCCATATTACAGCCTGAAAGTTGCAATTACAAGTTTATCTTACAACTTGAGGAATACATTCAGTCTAGAAGTAATGTAAGCTTTTGCTATCTGGGGTGCATACGTTTCTAAGAGGTAGGGTTCTGCTGTTTTCACAAAGGGTACAGACCCACCATCCTTTGCCCCGGAGTAACAAACACTGTTTGGAGCAAACTCCCAGTGCTATAAGAAAACAAAACATACTTCTGTTAAAGCACCCCAGTGTGACATTTCAATTGAGAAACATGATACTTTTATCTTCAGTAGTCTTATTCATCCAGGTAGCTTCTGAGGGCCCCAGTCACAACTGAGACCTAACCTGAACAACAGCAATTGCAGAGGAGCGAGACTGTGTGAGAGCAACAGCTCTGCAGACACCAAGGTCAGTGGGGAAGGAGGGGCAGGAGGTGCTCCAGGCCCCGGAGCAGAGGTTCCCCTGCAGCCCCTGGTGCAGCCCATGGGGGGGCAGCTGTGCCCCTGAGCCCATGGAGGCCACGGGGGTGCAGAGACGCCCCTGCAGCCTGGGGAGGAGCCCACGCTGGAGCAGGGGATGCCAGAAGGAGGCCGTGACCCCGTGGGAAGCCCACGCTGGAGCAGGACCTGTGGCCCTGTGGAGAGAGGAGCCCATGCTGGAGCTGGCTCCTGGCAGGACTGGTGGTGAGAGGAACCCAGGCTGGAGCAGATTTGCTGGTGGGACTTGTGGCCCTGTGAGGGGACCCACAATGGAGCAGCCTGTTCCTGAAGGACTGCAGCCCATGGGAAGGATTCACATTGGAGAAGTTCATGGAGAACTGCCTCCCGTGGGAGGGACCCCACACCGGAGCAGGGAAGAGTGTGAGAAGTCCTATCCCTGAGGGGGAAGGAGTGGCAGAGACAAGGTGTGATAAACAGAGCACAGACCCAATTCCCTGTCCCTCTGCACTGTTGGGGCTGAGGAGAGAAATTGGGAGTTAAGTTGCACATAGGAAGAAGGGAGGAGTGGGAGGGAGGTGTTTTAAGATTTGGGTTTATTTCTTGTTACTCTACCCTGATTTGATTGGTAATAAATTGAATTAATTTCCCCCAAGTCAGGTCCATTTTCCTTGTGACAGTAACTAGTGAGTGATCTCTCCCTGCCCTTATCTTGACCCATGAGCCTTTTGGGGTATTTTCTCTCTCCTGTGCAGCTGAGGAGGGCAGTGACTGAGTGGTTTTGGTGGGCACCTGGTGTCCAAACAGGGTCAACCCACCACAGACACACTTATAGTAGACCACCATTTGCACTGTACAAGCTCAGGAACTTAAACCTCTACAGCCCAAGAATTAAGATACCTTAATTAACAAGCTCACGTACTAGAGTAAACAAGCACAGTGAAAAAAAGAAATCACAGTTTTCTCATCAAGAAGAAGAGAAGAGAAAACAAACATACTACAAATACTGTACCTCTTCCAGGTGCTCATATGCCAGGAATAAGGATAGTGTTCAGCGTCTAAATAAAATAATTTGATTTACTGGGAATATCTGTTATAGAATACGTTTATTCTGTCAAAATAACAACAGGAAAAGTGAGAGAGAAACAGCAGAAAAGGTTTACCAGTAACTCACCAGCAACAAACTCTACTCCACATTAGAAGCTACTTTGTAATGGCAAGTATCAGGACAAAAGAAGTTGCACAGACCTCAGACTACAAATAGTAACAATCCTTCCTTACTTATTTTCCAGCTTGTTGGAGTCTGCACAGTGCATAGCTCATCTGCAGATTCATCAGCTGAATTTCCAAGGAAATCAAAATCAGGACAGTTTAGTATAAGCTTCAAAAGTTGCAATGCTAGGCTTTCCTGCTGTTGGTTCTGAAGAGTTAAAGGTTTTGCCTAGAGCTAAGGAGAAAAGAAGTCTTGCCACCTGCACAGCATATGCTTTAAAAATAATTATGAAAAGGAAAATGTTTGGATATAAAGCTGCAAAATGCAGAGCAAGAGAACATATACTGAGAGAAAAATAAATCCTTCAACAAAAAATGACAGAGTATTTCCTTAAAGGCAAGGGAAAAATCATTATTATCACCTCGGAGACATCTTCCATGTCAAGCTAAAGCTCACAAACTTATAAATAATTTTTAAAAGCCTGGTGAAATACTCCCTTTCATAAAATACACCTAGATAAAACTCAGCATGTCACTGATACTGTTTGGTAAAACAGTGCTAACTTTCACTGCAAAAACTGAACTGCAAGGTTTCACTGTTTTCAGTTACTCCAGAGCAGCATGGAGTCTATGTCCTGTACATCACACCAGTAAAAAGTACCTCAACAATTGGTTATTTTTCAGTGTGATGCCCAGGCTGCTAAACAGCATGAGTTTCAGAGTCTGCATAATCACACTGCTCCTTGGAAGTCTACGAAAACCTGGCTTTAAAAAACAATGAACTGAGCAGTTTGTAATCTGCATATAGCTCTGTACAAATACACACCTATATAAATAGAGCTGTCAGGGGCTCTACTGCTTTATAACCTCTGTGGTGTCAGAATGAAAAGGGACTTGGCAAGCAAAGCAACCTGTCCAGAAGCATAAACTCTAAATCCTGTAAGTAAGAACATTTTATCGATCCACTTCTGTAACAACAGTAATTTAAATAACATTTATCTTGAAAGAAATTACTACTAATCAAGATTACAATATAAAGACACTGAAAACATGAATCATTAGTCACTGACACAGTTTGCAAACATTAGAGGGAAAATTGACATAATTTCGTCTAGAAAAGAAACAAAGTAAATGCAAATTCAACAACTTTATCTAGTTCATCTGCTCCTTATTTAGATTCAAAGTCACATCTCAAGTTTATTAACAACAACTTTTTTAATTCAGATGACAGAAATTCATATCAACTGTGCCTCATTAACCTGATAACAACTGTTACATCACGTTAGAATTGACACTAAATTATAAATTCAGCTTTGAAATTTGAATTTCTGCTTGTCTTGTATAGGAACCACCTGTTCTGCCAGCAGTCCTCTCTAACCTTTAAACTCTTGGAATTATTTTAGTGATTCCACCTTTGTAGTTGAGTATATTTTTCAGTGTAACGCACACACTGAAATATTTCTAAAACCAGCTTCCTATACTAAAGTGGGCATTGGAAAGACAGTAATTATAATTTCTTTATATTTCTGTTTGGAAATCCCTGTGATGTCACTCAGACAAACTTTTCAATGCATGAGAGACTCAAGTACCTGCAGACCAGATGAACTTGAAGAAAGCTGAAAAGTGGCTACAGGTTCCCATACATCCATTTAATGCTTTAATGTGTAATGGGATTTACTTTATCTAAAAAGAATGTTCCAAAAGTATCCAATTCTTCTTTTAAATTACATATGATTTCTCCATTAACATGCAATTCCAACACTGATTTAAAACATCCTGCACAGAGTAGCAGAGCGGTCCCTCTTGAGAGATGAGGGCTCACACATTATTATTTCTGGAACAATTAATTCTGTACCAAAAAAATATACTGCCTGTCACCTGAGCACTGGTAGTTGACCACATGTCCCTTAAACTTACTGCAAATGTGGGGTAAAACATGTTACTTAGACCAAAAACATACTGCGAAAGAAGTTAAAGCTAACCCAGTTTATCTCATTTTTCACAGTAGTACCACAATCACATATCTCAACTTTCAGAATTACACCTTGGGCCAAAAAGAAATTGCTGCCACTATCTACTGACCCACTGCGATGGCTCCTGTGTTTAAATTCTAGCCTAAACAGCTGTGTCCAGATTTCAACACCTAATTATTTGGTTTTCAGAAAAACTGAGCAAACAAGCACTCCCAAGTAATTCAAAGAATAGGAATCATAGAATCCGACGGGTTGGAAAGGACCTGTCAGATCATCAAGTCCAACCCTCGATCCACTACCACTGCAGTTACTAGAGCATGGCACTCAATGCCACATCCAGTTTCATCTTAAAAACCTCCAGGGATGGAGAATCCATCACTTCCCTGGGCAGCCCACTCCAATGCCTGAATGTCCTCTCTGTAAAGAATTTCTTCCAAACATCCAACTTAAACCTTCCTTAAACCACAGCTGAAGACCGAGCGCCCTTGTCTTACTCCCAGGATAGCTGCCTGGGAGAAGGGACCAACCCCCACCTGGCTACAACCTCCTGGTAGGGAGCTGTAGAGAGTGAGGAGGTCTCCCCTGAGCCTCCTCTTCTCCAGGCTGAACACCCCCAGCTCCCTCAGCCTCTCCTCACAGCACTTGCGCTCCAGTCCCTTCCCCAGCCTCGTTGTTCCCCTCCATGTCCTTCCTGAACTGAGGGGCCCAGAGCTGGACACAGCACTCCAGGGGTGGCCTCACCAGCGCTGAGTACAGGGCAAGAATCACTGCCCTGCTCCTGCTTCCACACTCTCCCTGAGCCAGGCCAGGATCCACTGGCCTTCTTGGCCACCTGGGCACACTCTGGCTCCTGTTCAGCTTCCTGTCAATCCACACTCCCACATCCTTTTCTGCCTGGCTGCTCTCCAGCCACTCTGTGCCCAGCCCATGGGGCTGCTGGGGGTTGTTGTGGCCAAAGTGCAGGACCCGGCCCTTGGCCTGCTTGAACCTCAGCCCCTTGGAATCAGCCCAACTCTCCAGCTTGTCCACGTTCCTCTGCAGAGCCCTCCTGCCTTCCAGCTGATCAACACTCCCCCCCAGCTTGGTGTCATCTGCAAATTTGCTAATGGTGGACTCAACCCCCTCTTCTAAAATTATCAATAAAGATATTAAACAGGATTGGGCCCAACACTGATCCCTGGGGGACAAGACCAGTGACCGGAGGAGGGAGAAAAACATCTTGGCCTGATTTGATTGCGTTGCCTAACCACAAGAATTTGTCTTTCTTTTTGGTTGCTTCCAGTTCAGTGAATTAATTCTTTTAGCAAATACTGAGATGGTAGGACCCAGCAAAACATAAAAAGAAGACAAGCCCAGAATTTAGATAGTTCAACCCTTATGGCAAGATATAAAAAGAGAGAGACGGCACAGAGAGATTGAGAGACAGCAAGAGAGGCAGGGAAGGAAGAAGATAGAAATTTTTGTCTTTGAATCCTTTTTGGTCTCTTGAGCTTAACTGGGTGTCATGTAATCCATTTAAGTACAGAGTTCATCAAGCCAGAAAATATTAAGGGACAATAATGACATTAACAATTTAGGTTCAATTATAAAAGGCCTCACCTCCTTCAAAAGAGAGCACACAAGCATCAGTATGTCCTTCAGGGAGGTGTCATGGAATGAGGCAGCTATTTTACAATGTTTTGCTGAAGGTCTTGAATAATCAACCTGAGAAAAAAAGTAAGGACAGAATAAACAATGCTCCCTTCCTTGCTCAAACTAGATGAAGAGGATATCTGGCAGATTAATTACTTGACACTAGAAATTAAAATGATGGTTCAGCACTAAATGCAGGTCTCATCAGGTTTCTGACACATCTCCTTTTTTCCCTTTAAGTTTGTTCCTCTTTCTGGATGGACAGGTTTGAGGCACTTCCTCGGGGTAAGATGTAAGCAAAGAAAGTCATTAGCAGAAATACAACTGAAAAAGTTGATTGTTCACTTCACTTGGTTTTACTAGTTCTGGTGACTGTGATGAGGGAAACGTATCTGGTACTGGTAGAGTCCCTGCATAAGAATTTCTTGTGCCTCTGTGTATTTTGGTGGGGGAGGAAGGTGTTTTAATCCCTTGATGTCTAAGAAATGTTTCTCAAACCATTTTTATGAAGGGCTGAAACATCCATGGCTTTACCAGCATCACTTGCAGAAGGAAAAAAACAAACCAATGCTTACTAGATTAATTTCCTGAATCAGTTCTGAGAGGAGCATTACTCCTATTGTACTATGGTCCACAGTGCCCTACGGGGAAAAAAAAGACAGGATTGCTCAAATATCAGCACTTGTAGTTACCATTTTCCAGCACTACTACAATCAGATTGTACTTAATATTTTTCAACATTTCTAGAATCAAGAGGAGTTGTTAGGCTGAGATATCCTAAGCTGTTTAGAAGGCTTTCATGCCAAATTTCATCAGCATTAACGGAACTAGACCTTCAAGCTTCCTAGTTATCTCTGAAAAAAACCCTCATCATAAATTTTAAGAATTGTCTGATAACAAAACCCCATCTGAAAATAGACTCCAAGTAACTGCAGTCTAGAAAGTCACTACTACACACTTCTCAAAGTTCAGTATTCTACTACTTGTAAGGCAAGCTGCATGAAATTCAAACCATTAGAAAAAATTAAGCCACGAATGGATGAAAAAGATCACAGAGTACTCTCAGAAAAAACAAAGTTTTGCAATGCTACCTGTCAACAAATTAATTCTCTTCCCTCTACAGTAGTTTACAATGCATTGGTTGGAAGTGTCTAAAAAGTGAGGCAGGAGGTGTTCAGTACTTCCATTTGAGTGTACGATCTGACCATCAGGAATTAAGATCCTTGGAATGTTTTGAAATTCAGATACAATGCAGAATTGTGAAAATAATTAATAAAATCTAACTGTCTTCACTGAGCTACCACAAAGCATTGATAGAAAAATCTAATTTCTTAAATATAACTAAAATCAACTGCAATGAGGCCTTGCCATTGAGCCAGGGGAAGATCTCCATGTGTACTTTCACAGCTGCAGTTTGCAGCCTCAGCTCCCCCGTGTCCAAAATGTCAAGTCATCCTTGTCAAAATTTTCCTGCTATTTGTCACAATTACACTCATTTTTACAACCCTGAAGATCACCCAAAGTTCAACTAATGAAAAGTCTGACTACTTACCAAGGGGTCTAACTTTTCACTGCCATCTGTTTTGCATCATCACTTGTACGAAAGCAAATCAGAAGAGACAACTGAGGGGAGCTCTCAGTCAAAAGTAACATTGCTGCCCTATCTGCCTTCAGTAAGATTAAACATCCTATACTGTAATTTGAACACAACTTTCCTTTACATTTCAAATTCTTAAAATAGTCCATAGGAATGTTCCTTAGATCATGCAAACATGTAAAAATAGAAAATGCAACCTCCCCACTATCACATGTGAAAAGCTGTGTGATTAATTACAAAGGAGTTGAGAAAAGAACTGCTAATCCCTTTCTCAATAAAAAATCACATTCAAATTCACACTGGAGGAACCTCAATTCAGAATGCTAATGCATATGTATTTGAAACTACCATAGGCTAATTATTGACATATCTAATATTGTTTAAGGATTATTTCTTCAATTTTTGTATAAAATTTAATTCACTAGATCTATGACTTAATCTTCTTTTCCACAGAAATTCTTAATCTAACTAAAGAAATCTCTTAAGAAGCTAAATTTTGTATTTAAATCTCTGTTTTTAATGAGCTGCACACTGAAGAGTCACACTGCAATCATTTTAATAATAAATGCAAATTGCAATTATAGTGCATTCATAAAAATAACTGCAAAATGGTAGAAAAGTATACTTGAGTTTGTTTTTAATAAACAGATTATTGCAACTTATCTTTTACTAGGCATTCCCAAAGTAACTCAAAAAGTACATTAACTCAAACAGTATTATAAACAAAGTAAGACTGAAAAGCAAAGGAGAAACTCATTAGCAAGAAACAAAAACTGTTAACTTCGTATTTTCTTGCTGAATTACCAGGATCACCCCCACATACACAAATAACGGATGATCCTGGAAGGAAATTGCCAAATAGCTTAAATTTTCCAATTACTTTTGTCAACAGAAGTACTGGGCTTAATGTTTACAAAGACATGTATCAGAAATGTATCTCTACAGCAGCTGAAAAAAATGAAGGCATTAAACAAAAACCCACGACAGCACCATGAATACCGTGAGGCATCAAACTCCCCAACCTCACACAAGTGGCAAACCCACCCTGGTTCTTCACTGCAGGGCGATCTTCTGCTTTAAGCAATGCTCTTTATTTATGCTTTTGCCACCCAAGTATCAAACTAAGTGACATAACATGCCAATAACTATAAATGAAGAGGTCCAAACAAAAACAAAAAAAAAAATGGCAGAAGTAAAAAATTGTTTCCTTCCTGCAAAATTTTTTTTACATCAGCAATAATGTCTCTGAAGATAGGCTGATCTTTCAATACATCAAACGACCCTAATTTTGTAATTTTAGCAATGACTTGAATAAGAGCTTGGATGACAAAAGGAGCCAGTTTAGGTTGAAAAGATACATAGCTCAGAATGTAATTTCTTGTAACAAAGCATTTTAAAATCAGCAACACAAGTCTTCTGTAAAGAAAATGAGCTAAATAATTCTAATAGAAACTTAAGCTCTGGATTGAAAAAAAAAAAGAAGTCTTATAGTTAGCACAATAACTGTAAGTTCTGTTAAATCATTAAATCCAGCTGAATGTTTAGTAACACAAAGTACATTACATACATGGTCATTACTCTAGGACACATGACAACAGTTTTTTAATTCAGAGAACTGAATTACTGGCAGGTAAAACACTAATTATTCATCACAATCCCATACACTGGGTATTATTTCACTACATAACAGCAGCTCTCACAGCCAACTCAAAATAAACACAAGTTTTCACAGATAAGAGTCCCTACTGAATGTTCTCAATTCAACATCAAACATCCCATGGAATGGGAAATGCACACTGCAGTTGTGGAAACTCTGTTCTAACTAAAAGGAAGTTAAGCTGTTTCAAAAGTTGTTGAAATGTATAAAATTCAAGTTGATTAAAGTTAATTTTTACCTAAAAGAACACTAGAAACTTTTATCAGAAGCAGCAGGTTCTCAGCCCTGTGTTTCAGGGTACTGCTGTCCACAGAACTGACACAACAGTGCAGATTTTCTAAAAATCCAAACTGAATCATAAGCTTCTCATGTAAAGCCTTTTCACTATTAAAGACCTAACACATACTTGCTCATTCTTTTTGGATATAGCAATGGCTTTAACATAGATCCTAAAAAGTAAGGAAAACTATGTAGGCTCTTATTCCTGCAAGTCTGAAGCTGCCCTGGCGTGACTTTTACAAACATTAAGAGCTGAACATCAGCAACGTGACGTGACTGACTAGCGGGTGTAGCAGAAATATCTGCAACTTTTATCCTTTACAAACATGAGCTGAATCTCTTTAGCATCTTATGGGATAAATACAAAGTCTACTTTGAAAAAATGAGCGTTTTTTTTTTTTTAAATATGAAGTAATCTGAGCAAACATTGTGGCAATGGATTTGCCACATGTAGGATGGAAGAAGTCCTGTCAGAGATGGACTAGTGAAGAAGAAAACCACTCAAATGTTATAGAAACAGAAGTTTTTAATGTGGTTTAAACAGGTTTCAAAATGGCTTTTGCTTTTTTGTGAAGTCATTGCTCCCTTCTCCCGACACCCCCTGTGAGGGACTTGTCTCCCACACAAGGTGTCCTGGGAAGGTGTCCTGAGGTGTTTCTCACTGTCCTTTGTTAACCCCTTCCTACTGGCTGTTGACTCTTTACCTGACTGGTTTTTTCTGTGTGCCTCTGAACTTGTGATTGGTCCCCTTTTGACCCTCCTAAAAGCCTTATAAACCCCTACCCCACAATAAACTTCCTCTTTCATCTGTCCCTCCCTGGTGCTCTGTGAGCTCCTTACGGGGTTCTCAGGCCACGTGGCGGGGGCAGGGGGGAAGAACATTCACCTTCCAGGTAATGGGCTGGCTCCCAGGGCCTGAAGGTCTCCCCCTCCCACTTAATCCATCGTAAAACATCTTTATTTTAATTTTGAAAATACAAAATGTTATTTGTGAGTTAACTGCAGAGAAACGATGGAAGATCTCACAATCACCTTTACGTTCACTCTCACACAACGATCCCCTCATGAAAACCAGGCTTGGTAAATTGCGAGGACAACTGAAGGAACAACCAGACTGTGCTTAACGGAGTTTCAGCTCCAACTCATATAATGGCATTTTAACAACAAACATTACTCATGAATGTCAATTCTGTGTTCAACAGGCAGTGGGGAGCCCTGCTGACAAGCTTAGACAGGCACATTACTGCTAGAATCTGCACGTAGGATGTCCACAAAAACACATCAGAAGGTATTATTCAAAAATGAGTGAAATATAGGCAGGGAAAATACATCAAAACCTGATAAATAATGAATAAATCATTTTGTTAAGTGTACCAAAACTTTATCAAAGGCATATTTTAGTACTATCTTTGTTTCATTGTAACTAAACATAAATTACAAAACAGTGATAAAAAAGCTGAGACCTGCAACTTTCACCCCTTTTGATGGGATGATATCTGTTTCATAGCTAGAAACGAGAACAAAATGAGAACCACCAGATTATACCACGCTGTGTCCCAACACTGCTCTACAGATGACACAATCCCTGATTATAACTCCTCTGAAAGTACTGAAAGCTGAGATCCTTCCTCCTTTTGTGCCTGACATCTCTGGTGCAGGTTATAGTCACTTCCACAAAGACCATTTAGATAAAAATCATTTAGATTAAAAAAGAGAAAAGCATTTTGCCTTAATTGTCCTGACCTAGTAGTGAGAAATCTACGTGAGCTTCCACGAGCATAATCACCTTCATGGATAACACACCTCCCAGACATTCACCATGCCTTGTTCCCACAGCAGCCAGCGTCGGCTGAGACATTCAGGGTTATCAATAAATTCTGACAGGACCTTCTCAGCTTGGGTTTGCTGGGCTGGATCAGTTCCTCCAGACAGGTGGTTACAGAATACTTCTACTTCTGCCAGACTCTCTTAAGGGAACAACACGACTCAAACTTCCACAAAGACTTTTCAGTCACATAAGATTTCTTTGTTTATAATTTTAGATACCATAGCAGAAATATGAACTGTTACCTATGCTCAGCTTTCCACTTGTTTCACAATTCAATTAGAAAAATTAGGATGCCTTCTGCGACAAGAAGGCAAAATAACTGAAATTAAACTGCCATTTCTTCTCTTAGCTATCAAAGTATTTTTTACTATGGTTCAATCCATCTGTTTTTCTGAGCCTTCAGATGGGAAGCCCAAAGGGAGATGAAAAGATGGAGAATTGTCAAGTTTGAGCTATGCTACCTGGAAAACTTCTGGCAAATTTATTTTAAAACCAGTAACTCATCAAATTACCACATCTAGAAAAAATTAGCTTTGTATGCATCTATTCATGCAAATATCAGTGAAAGATGGGACAATTTAGAAGCTGTAGTAGCAAGACTAGAGCTAAAACTCTTCTCCGCTTAGAAGCTGAAAAAGTTCTCTTTGGTAGAGAAGGTGTGTGTGTGAAACCTCTCCCTCCTATGTGAGCAGTATGGTTTATATCTACTAGTCACTGTCTCACAAGAGAGATGAACCCTTTGAGCATCTTTAGGAACCATTACACAAAGAGAAGTTTTAGCATCCATCAGGTTCCCAAAGCCCACGTAATTCTCCTGAAGTGGCCATGTCATTAGAAGGTACCTGGTAAGTACTTCATGATTTGAGTGTGGTCTAGAAAGAAAAGAGAACACATAGTGTTTCACCAATCTCATTTAAAAGTTTGAACCAAAATCCTGTTCACCAGCCCTTCCAAACATATGTTTTGCACTTTAAATAAAAGACTGGATTTCAGCACAATCTATCTCGCATATACCATAGTTCAAACGTCTTTTAAAATTCCAAGACAGTGTCTTTGGCAACCAAAATACATTTGGTTTTGTCAATCAAAGCATGTAATTTCCTTGAGACACTAGAAAAAGATCATCATCTTTTCCTCATTTTTGTTGTGCACAGGTAGTCCCTGGATTTGATCTGCACCTTCTGCATTTCAGTAATGATGGTATTTTAGGAGTCCCTGATTTTCAATCAAAAAGTAGTTGTGTACTTGTTCCTTTGGAGAAGTTTTAAGAAACAGGATATTTGCTCCTAGAGTGAACAGATCGAGTACCTCAAATGCTGAGCTCAACAGAGACCTCTTTTGCTTTTGTTTTCCCCTCTCCTACACTGAGAGAGTGTAAAGGAAAAATAAGGAACAGGTAACAATCCCAGTAATGCAATTTTAAATGAGGCAAGATCCATACCAATTAAAGCTCATTAAGGCTCATAAAATGCAAGCATATACATTAGGGAAAATACAACACAAACCCCACACAACTGGGACAAAACTTGCAAATAAGGACATCGAGTACATAACTACAGACATAACTACAATGCATCGTTCCAGAATGGAACAAGCCCAATACAAACTAAGAAGCACAAAACAAACTACCGTGTCATAGTCAGCAAAAGTTAAAGACCCTCTTATATTTGATTAGAAATATGACTTTCAAGTCTGGACAAATTTGGCAACAAGTTTGAGAAAGTACAGAATAAAACTTTCAGCCCAATCACCAAGGTCTAAATCACCTTTACGATAACTGACATTAAAATAGCAAATTATTTATAAGCTGGCTAAACAATCATTTATACACAAAGAATTGACAGTGAATTCACTGTGCACTTTAATGCACAGTGTTAATATGTTGAGGTTACACCAAAATGTAGAAATTTAGGCTAAGGATCACTTCTTGTTGACAAGTTAGAATTATGAAGGACAGCTAAAAAAAGTAAGGCCTGAACAAAAACTAGATAATGATATGCAAAGAACAGCTGGTTTATTGGATATTGAGACTGATGACATGCAGCTCTTTGAAATACTTTATTTGGACATGTTTGTTTCTAGGAGAATGTTATGACAAAGGTTCTTATTGACAGGCTGGAGGCATGGCCACAAAGTGCTCAGAATTCTCAGACTGTCAACGAAGTTGTTAGATGTTCTCTGGGTTACATTTTAAGTGTGGTACTGAGGAAATGTGCTGCTTTTCTTTGATTCTGATAGCAAAACCAAAAAATATGACTTGAAATCAGCAAATACAACCATCTTGTGTGTGATGGCAACTCAGCTGAGCAACAGAGGTATTATTTAACTTTATTAAGAAAAAAATAATCGGAGAAAACAATGAGAAGTCAAAAACAAGCTCTCTCTAGATTAGATAGGTATTTTCTCTAAGGAAACACAAGACTGTCACAATACCTTCTTTAATATGAGATAAAAATGCCTTCAGATACCTCACTTACTCAAACTCTGATCAAGAGCTGAAAGGTGATTCCTCAGAAAACAACTGTGTCAGTGGAGACAATCCAGCTACCAGATGCTGGCTGCTTTAAGTGAGATGGGAGTAGAAACAGACCTGAATAAGAAATGGTGGTTTTGATCACAAAGAACTGGAACTTTTTCCAAGAAACAGATTCACATCCTAATAAAAAACGTTAGATCCTATGATTCCCCCCCCCCTCCGCTTGTCACGTTTTCATAACACTCATGAACATGCTGAATAAAGTTCTCTGGATACTTCTAGTCCTACCTCTCCAGCTCCCCGACATCCCTGGTAACTCTCCTGTGAAAGAACCAGGGGCCAGAAATGCTGGGGGCCTGGCCCCGTAGAAACCTCCAGGCAGCCCAGGAGCCAAGCAAACTGGTAGGAAACCAGGCAGGCTCCTAATCGAAGTTTTGCTGACACTAAAAAATTCCCTCAGATGTTTTGATTTTAATCAGAATTTGCCGACTGAAAACACTTTATGAAGAAAGTTCCACCAGGTTTATGCAAGAGCAACATGATGCACGTAATTGAATTGCCAGTTAAAAAAAAAAAAGAAAGAAAAAAAAAAGATATTTTAGTGGTCCTTTTATGTGCCGTGCCTGGTCCCCAAGTATCTAAATAAATGCCTAAAATGGCCTCTCTAACACTGTCAGAGCCTGCTGTCACCAGTGAAGCCGTGAGAGATGACGGCACACGCCTGACACCGCGGTGTCTCCCGAGGCCCTTTCCCGCCTCCCCTTTCCTTCCTCCCTTGTTTGAGGGCAGTTTCAGTGGCTGATGTTCGTCTTGGACAAGTCCCGGAGCTCGGCTGCCTCTGTTTTTCAGCGAAGAAGTGGCGGAGGAGCCCAGCGCCGCCTTCAGAGCGCGGTGGCACCGGGGAGCAGGTGCGGCTGTTTCAGCGCTGTGGAGCCGCCGCAACCCGAGAGCGGCTCCCGGGGAGCGCGCGGCGGGGCGATGGCAGCACGAACCCGCCCGCCGGCACCGGCTCCGTGCGGCGTGTCCCGCTGCCGACACCCAGCCGGGACCGCCGCGGCTCCGCGGGCAGGGCGGCTCTGGCCACCTGTCGCCCCGCTGCCAGGTCGGCGCTCCGCATCCTACGGCCCCTGCTCCGCTCGGCCACCGGACCGCACCCGCCCCGCACCACCTGAGGGCTCCACCGCGTACCTCAGAAGCCCTCTCCCGCCCCGAGCTCCCGGCTCGCCCCCCAGGGCAGCCCCACGGCGGCCCCGGCCCCGCACAGCCCGGCGCGCTCCAACGACCAGGCGAGGTCCCGCCGGCCCCACCGCTCCGCCGGGGCGCACCGACCTGGACACGCAGCGCCATCTTCCCGAGCGACGCCGGGAGCAGGCGGCGGGCCCAGCGGGGACAGGAGCAGCGCCAAGGCTGTACGGGGCTGTACGGGGC